AATTATTTTCCCAATACCATTGATTTTTAATTTTCTTATAGTAAATTCCAGTCCAGAAGAAAGATTTCAAGGAGAAGAAATTCTGGAAGTAAGAAAGTATGTGTAAATATAAAGTTTTCATTATTATGTTTTCAACAAGTGCATGGAAGTACTTTTAAATAATTCAACGTTATATGTGTACTTTGATTCCTTCAGCCCACAAAATCATTAGTATGTTCAACAGTGCAGGAATATTTTAGATGCTGGTGATGTAATGAAAAACATATGTTAATGGGAGATATAGAAAATAAATCCAAGTCGGGCCAGGGATTTAGCTCAGTGGTTCTGTTGCTTGCCTTGCAAGCACAAGGACCCGAGTTCGATCCCTGATACCAAAAAAAAAAAGAAAAGAAATCCAAGTAACAAGATAGTGCTGATTAGGGGCAGAAAGGAGTGAGCATTTAAAAGAAATAAATCCCTCATAGATTTCTTGGAGATTAATTTATATCCAGTGACTTTCTTCTTATGTGCATAATTAAAATAATCTCCTGTATCGGGGAATTCACACAGTGGGTACTTTAATCTGATTTTGATGCACTCTTTGGAGCTAAGATTCCCCTCATACCGACTTCTCACATAGTGCTGTATATTCTGATAAACTGACCACACAATGGTATTAGATTTTGGACCACAAATACTATACCACTTTGGTGCTGGGCCATACCAGGTTCTTTTCTCTTTGTCTGAAATATTCCTTATAATAACTGTTGCCATCTGAATTTGCCAGTTATACGTTTTTTCATGAAGGGAATCCCAAGTTTTATTTCAAATATTTCTATCTTTTGTTACACAATATATAGACCTATTCTATATTTTGCATGTGAAAACTGAAACAAAACTTAAACTAGTTTTATCTTTTAGACATTTGTCTAGTGCTGCACTTGGGCAAATGTAAATGACTCTTCAGTTTAATCCAGTTAGTTTCGTAGAACTCACATACCATTATGACACTCAGGTATTATTAACTTACCATTTCCTCTCTGTTTATTTTCACAAGACTGGCGTTTAGAGATAAGCAGACATGTTGACTCTTGCTCCAAGTTAGCTTTTCCATAGAGAAGTAATAACAACTGCATCTGAACCAGACCCAGTCCTTGGGACAAGGTTGACAGTGAGGCCCTAGACAAACATGCTCCATCACTGCACTGAAGAGATTCACAGCTCTGATTTTATTACTTGTTCAAAACATGCCTTTGCACAGTATACTTTATGATATTTAGATTGTTTATACAGTGTAGTACAGGAGTCTGAGAAGTATAATTTGTCTGAGTAGCTGAACCATAATTTTCTTTTTTTTTATTGGTACATTTTAGGTGTACAATATAATGACATTCATCATTGGAAATTTGCACCTTTACATAATCTCTCTTGGTTCTTAATTTTCCCCCTTCCCAGCTCTCCCTTCAACCCCTCCATCCCTCCCTATTTGCAAAGACTTTGTTTCCATTTTTTCATTT